TAGTATCTGTGCCAGTTATTTATTGCTGACAATATACTACTTCCAAATTCAGTGGCTCCAAACAATATTTGTATTATTCAGAAGCCTGCAGTTTAGGCTAGGCTTAGTGGGGTCATTTTATTTCTTGTCTACTTGGCATCAGCTGGGGTGACTTGAGGCTGGTGAATAGAATCTTCCAATGGCTTCTTTGTTCACAGTTGTTTATTGGCAGTTCAAGCTTACTTTTGGCTGGGACTTAAGCTGTGGGCAGTTAGCTGGAACACCTACCTGAGGGTTCATCTTGTGGCCTGGGCTTCCTCACAGTATGGTGGCTGGATACTAACGTGGGCTTCCATAGAGAGGGATAGTCATGGGGACACTGTCACATTGTCTAATTTTGTCATAGAAGTCCCACAACAGTTACACAATATTATGTTCACTGGAAACCAACTACTAAGGTCGTACTAAGCACATATTCAGGAGAGGAAATTTCATGGTAGAAATGTCAAAGATTTTATGAACATGTTTTAAAAACCACGATTCTACTGACCTTTTCTTAATTATTACATTTAAAGGAACATAGTTCTTGCTAACTCAGTACCACTGAAATTCCAGCAAGTTATTGTTGTTTATATGCTCCCTTATTTTGTGGCAAGAGGCAAAGGATTACAATATGGTGCTAATTGAATTAAAGCATCTTTATTCCAAAAATGTGTGGATCATGTCCCAAAATATTATACTAAGAGATATACTTGGTACTTAACCCTCAGAATTATTATGTAATCCTTTGAATACCATTCAAATTAGCATAAAACACTTGGAGTTCAGAAAATGGCTTTGGTATTAGAACTTATATTTACAAGTTTTATTAATTAGAGTCTCATTTTCAAAGTCTCATTCTGGGAATTATTTTTTGACTCAGGCCTAAATAACTTGATATCATGTCCCTAAAACTTCTTTAGTAGTTACGGAGAGTAAAAATGGGGAGCAGGAATAAAAGACGTTCTACTAAGGTGATTTAGAATCATTGTAAGGAGGAAATACATGAAATAATCACAAAAAAATAAAAGTGTATGATCAAGTGCAAATGGGTGGACGATTCGATGAGATTAAGGAATATGTTTGCCCGGCTTCTGGTGTTTAGCTTGGTTCTTGATTTTCCGAGTAATTCAAGGTCCACATTCTAGGAATCTATTTACAGTATAGAGAACATTTCATTGCAAGTGAGTTTATTTCAAAAATTGTTATTGGGTTTGAGTTAGACTATCCTCAGCCTACTTCCTTTATTACCAAACCATATTATTTCATTCCTGCAGGTTGATGATCTTAGAGCACAACTGGAAGCTACATCCTCAGAATGTCTACGTCTGGATGAAGAGAGTCAAGTTCAACAGGAGTTACTATCTATGAAAATAGGACTAAAGAAATGCGAAGAACTAGAGAAGGCAAAAAAGAAGTTGGAACAAGAAATAGTAAACCTCATAAGCCATATGGAAATGAACATGGTAGAACGTGGTGAATTGGAACAGTATGAACGGGAGATTAAAGAAAGAGCAAGACAGGAGATATTAGAAAAATTAGAAGAAGTCAATCTGTTTTTACGGGTTAGTTT